GTGTGTGTGTGTGTGTGTGTGTGTGTGTGTACACAGTGGTGAGAAAACTGGGAGAAAAAAAGAGACATGGGATAGTGGGGGTAGCAAATATGAACAAAGCACAATGGCATGCATGTATAAAAATGGGTTCTACAACATAAAAAAAAATCACGAAGAGAAACGGATGTGAGGTGTGGTGGTGTACATCTGTGATCTGGCCCTCAGTGGGGCTGAGAAAGGAGGGTTATAGTGGATCTGAGGCCAGCTATAACAACATAGTAAGACCCTGCCTGTCTCAAAACTCCAAAAGAAGAGAAAAATGGGGGGGGGCAGAAAAGAAAAAAGTAAACATCTCAAAAAATGTCCATTAAGTATACTGTTTTCACTATCAATTGCAATTAAATAAACAAAAACTAAGATGCCACTTTCACTACCAAATACCCAGAAGTTCAAGAGGAGTATAAGCGTGGAAGGTGTACCTTCATCTGCTGGTGGGGTGAACTTCTGTGTAGCCTTTCTAGGGCAATTATGAAATTCAGAAGTTAGAAACAATAGAGGGAGGAGGACAGTATTTCAAATTACTGTTCCAGTGCCATTTTGGTAGATACATATTAGTAAGCATTGCTCTTAGCCCAAACATTCTATCTTTAGAAATCTATCTCATAAATTATCAGGAATCTGTGCACAGAACACACACAGAAAAGTTTTCTGCTGCACTGATGTTCAAGACAGGGAGAAGCCAGAAACCACAGTATGCCTGTAAAAGGAAATACTATGCAGCCATTAAAATTCTGAGGGTTTTCAAAATTATTAATACTTAAATGAGTTTATTGTGTATTAGGTAAAAACAAAAGGAGGTTACTTGATAGAGTCTATAGTCTTGGTTTTAAAAACTGACACTCATCTTTATTATGTAACACATTTTTAAAAGTCTGTAAGTTGCTTTCACCAAGCGCCTCTACATGGTGGGCATGAGGGCTTCTTTGTTTAAAAATATCGTAGAATAACAAAAATTCTGAAGGGAAACTGAATACGATCAGTAGATGTAGTAGGCCATTTTATAAGAAGAAATCGATAATTTGTATTTCCTCAAACATGTGACTCAACACTTCATTCTAACATAAACATGAATGTTACCTTTTATAAGTCTCTTAACAGAGTCCAACCGTGAGACCAGGATCATCTCTTCGCTTTTCAGGATCTCTAGTTTAACATCATACAACTCCAACTGAATCTCGTAATACTGTATTTCTAGCTCATCTACAGCATCTATATTCTTTCCTTGGTCTGGAAGATCTTTAACCTGGTTTGTATAGAGAAAGGAATAGATGATTCACATAGGAAGAGCACATGCCAAGCATCCTGGCTGTTTTCTGCTCATCCATGGTGCTAACTGTAAGAAAGGAGACAGGACAAAAGCCCTCCATCTCAACAAACTTGAACTCATTCAGCGAATACACTCCACCTTAAAAGAAGTCAATACATTCATGATCTAAAAACATAATGGCAATAAGACCATGTCAGGGATCAGCTGACCCGAGCTAGTGAGAGATCACTGACTCAGTTCTGACAAATGGGTTACCTGCATAAGACCAAACTAGACTCCTTTAATATAGGTTTCAATGGTGCAACTGGGACAATATATGAGACCACTGGCAGTGGGTCCAAGATCTAACTCTAATGTACAAACTGACTTAGTGGAGCCCGTTCTATATGGAGAGATACCTTGCTCAGCCTAGACACAGGGGTGTTGGGGGTAGAGAGGTGCCTTGGTCCTGCCTCAACAAGATAATACAGACTTAGTAGACTTCCTAGGGGAGGCCTTACCCTCTCTGAGGAGCAGGTGGAAGTGGAGGGACGTGGGGGGAGTGATGGAAGGGGGAATGGGGATTGGAGTGTAAAAAATAAATTAATAAAAAAATTACAATATAAAATAAAAGGTAAAAATCAGAGGAGAAAAAAAAATGTTCGAGATAGAAGGTATTGTTATGATAAAGCTCGAGGGGAACCTTGGCAGATTCCATGGCAGGTAAGGGTGATCAAGGTTGGGGACAAACATGCCAGGCAGGCAGAGCTCAAGTGAGAAGTTAGTTTCATTAGAAAGGGAAGCTGGAGTGGGGGTGGGGAGAGAAGAGGTAAAGAGACACAAGACAGAGGACAGAAGAGAAGAGGGAGGCAGGAAAAGTCCTTTCTGCCCCAGGGAGACAGCAGGAAAGAGAGCATAAGTGGGCAGGGGTGGAATGGGATTCCTGTCTTTTAAAGGGGTCCTTTGCACCTGCCTGCAGACCAGTAGTCATGAAACCCTGGGGTGACCAGGGTACTGCCTGAGTGCATTCTGTCAGGTGTCAGGGATAGGCCAGCATAATGCCTGAATCCTTAGAGGTGTCACCCAAATGTAAATGTTGGCACTCTACGTCCAATGTGACAGTACTGAGGGAGTCACTGGAGGTGATCAGGTCTGATGAGGTAGTGGAGTAGGACCCTGTGGTGGGAAGGCTTAGTAGCACTTCCTCTCCACAGACAGGAGAGGCCCGTGAGCACACAGTAAGGAGTGGCCACAGCCAGGAAGAAAGCCCTCACCAGAAGCTGAATAGGAAGGCACCTGGATCTTGGACGTCTAGTCTCCAGAGCTGGGAGAAATAATTAAATGTAGTCAGCCCAACTATGGCATCGTCTTACAAGCAGCCTGATCTGAGGCGGCTACTGACAAGATTCTGCCCCCAAGCCCCAAGATTATGGAAACTATTACCTGACTATGAGGCAATGAAGAGTCACTTAGATTAAGACATGGCAGAGCACACTCTTAGCTATGCTGGGCTGGGACTCAGTGGTGGATACTTACTTAGTACCTGCCTGCAAGATGTTGGCTCCAGGACACTGTCACATTGTTTACATGCAAGAGAGAGAGAGAGAGAGAGAGAGAGAGAGAGAGAGAGAGAGTACAGTAATATATACTAAACATTACTACTGTGTTATTTTTAAAGTGAATCCCCCCACTCAGTGTTACAAAGGAAAGGAGGCATCATGACCCACCTTCTTTAGTATCTATGGAAGCTGTGATGGGAGATACAAAGGGGGCTTGTTACCAACACCTAGGATGAAAGGCAACCTAAATGGCAACATGCTTTTAGAGAAAGAAAAGTGATTGTTCTTGTCTTACCTTCCTCTGGATTTCAGCGCACCTGTGGTTGAGACACAGCTCTTTGGCTTTCATGAGCTGCAGAGTCTCCTGAGCTAACATGAGCTGGAGATTTTCTAGCCTGGGCGTAGCTGTGGCCCAGGCAGCCTTGCCAAACCTCTTCCGATCCTGCTCCATTTGTTTCTGCATTCCTGAATTTATAATTGATAAAATAAAACAAGTACAACTCATTAATGAATCCTGAGTTGTCTCTTTGTTGCCTCCTTTTTTTCCTTTCAAAACCTCTTTATAATTGTATTATCACAGAAGTAACCCTTGGTCATGGATAGAAAATCTTAGTATTCAATTTAAAAGCAGGATAATAACACTTATGGTCTGCCTTACTGAGCTGTTGGTCCCACAGTTTCTGTGGCTAACGGGCTGGTGTGAACAGTCTGACCAACAGCTCATTACTCTGCTTTCAATTGAACTTCAAACCCTACTAGAGTGTGCTGGCTAGTTTCTGTCAACTTGATACAAACTAGAGTCACCTGGGAAGAAGAGAAGCAACTGAGAAACTGTCGTGTGGACATGTCTGTAGGGCATTTTCTTGACTGTTGATTGATGTAGGAGAGCCTAGCCCACTGTGGGTGATGCCACCTGCCCGCCTGCAGGTGGTACCCAGTTGTATAAGAGAGCAAATTCTTGCCCGGCGTGATGACGCACGCCTTTAATCCCAGCACTCGGGAGGCAGAGGCAAGAGGATCTCTGTGAGTTTAAGGCCAGCCTGGTCTCCAGAGCGGGTGCCAGGATAGGCTCCAAAGCTACACAGAGAAACCCTGTCTCGAAAAAACAAAAAACAAAAAGAAAGCAAATTCTTGACTTCAGCCAGGGAAGCAGCCCCAGCTCCAGCAGGCACTCCCTGAGAATCCACAGACCACTGTGGCCAGGGAAACAGGTAAGCTAACTGCAGATCTTCACCTCTCTCTCCTCTCCTCCAAATCTAGTCCCCAGTCTACTCCCCTGCTTTGCAGCAGACCACCTGCTGAGGCCAACAAACCACACACACACACACACACATACACACACTTCTCCAGTGGATCACCCAGATCTTCCCTTCTTAACTCCCTCACCTGACTCACTGCTTCATCCCTGCCCTCACTCAATTCCAGCAGGCACTCCCTGGGAACCCATAGGCTAACAGAAGGATGGGAATCCATCTACCTTAGGATTCAGGTTTACCACTCTTGGGCATATGTCCAAAGGAGGCTTCACCCTACCACAGAGACACTTGCTCAACCATGTTCATTGCTGCTCTATTCATAATAGCCAAAAATTGGAAATAACTTAGATGTCCTTCAACAAAAGAATGAGTGAAGAGAATGTCACATATACACTGGAGTATTACTCAGCTGTCAAAAAAAATGGCATCATGAAATTTGGAGGCAAATGGATAAACTTGAAAAAAAATCATCCTGAGGTATCGCAGACCCACAAAGACAAATATAGTATGTATTAGCATATATGTGGATATTAGCTGTTAAGTCAATGATAACCAAGCTACAATCTGAAGAAGCAGATGTTAGTTATAAAGGAAGGGACTAGGAGAGACAAATAGATCTCACTAGAAAAAGGAAATAGAATAGATAGTTATGGATGGTGGGCTGGAATGTGAGGATCAAAATGGGAGAGAAAAAAGGGAGGGTGAGCTAAAATTAAGGGCCATCTGAGGGGTAGCGTGGAATCCTAATACAGAAAAATATTTACATACATAAAAGTGATCTAAATAAAATCACCAAATAATGGGGAGGCAGAGCCCCAGCTGGCACTCTTTTGTCATCAAATAAAGCTTCCAAACTGGGATTAGGTTACATTTAATTGAATTGTTGGTCAAAGGAGTCCCATTGGAATCCCCAAACAACCCAGGCTGTGGCAAAGACTATAGGTTGCTCTCTACAAACTACAAATTGATGTCAAGGTGATTAAAATAAAAAAGGCCCCCACAGGTCCATATAGTATGGCACTATTAGGAGGTGTGGCCTTGTTGGAGGAGATGTGGCTTTCAGGTCTCAGAAGCTCAAGACAGGTCTAGTGTAGCATGTCTCTTCCTGCTGCCTATAGATCCAGACATAGAATTCTCAGCTCCTTCTCCAGCACCATGTCTACCTGCATGCCACTGTTTCCTACCATGATGACAATGGACTAAACCTCTGAAATGTAAGTCAGCCCCAATTAAATACTTTATCTTTATAAAACTTGCCATGGTCCTGGTGTCTCCTCACAGCAATGAAACCCTAACTAAGACAGATGGCAAGTCCCCATTGCTGAAGACAAGAGCTACACAACTCATTGAACATGGAGAAGTCAAACTGGTGCCTACATAGAACCTTCACCACTATGTTCTAGAGTCTTTAGCACAGGAAGGTACTCTGCATAAGAGTACTCTACTACTATAGGAGAAACATAAACACCAACCCAACCACAAACCTTTGACCTACAATGGTGTCCTGCCTGCAAGATGTGCTAGAGTAATGGTGGCACAAAGGTTGTAGGATTAACCAATATTCAATATTTTATTTGACTGAAGGCATACTCCACTAGATGGAACCCATACCAAACATTGCTTGGGTGACCAAACCTAAGAGTACATAGCCCAGGGACCTAGAATAAAACCAAATACTGCTGTTCTTAAAAAAAAAAAAAGTAGCCAGACATGGTGGCACACACCTTTAATCCCAGTGATCTGGAGGCAGAAACAAGAGGATTTCTGTGAGTTTGAGGCCAGCCTGGTGTACAGAATGAGTTCCAGGTCAGCCAAAGCTACACAGAGAACCCTGATTACAAACAAACAAACACTAATAAAATTACTTCTAATGACATTCTGCTATACTCATAGATCAGTTCCTTGCTAAAACACCATCAGAGAAACAAACAGGGGGAAAAACAAAACAAAAAAAGAGACCCATAGCCAGACATTATTATATAGAGTGGGAGACCTTGGAATGCTTAGCCCTAAAAGGGATGTCTCCATCAAATCCCTCCCCACAGGACTCAAGGAACCCTGTGAAAGAGGGGGCAGTGTAAGAGCAGGGGGAATGGAGAACACCAGAAGAACAAGGCCCTCTAAATCAACATGATCAGTACACATATGAACTTAGTGAGACTGAAACAGTACACACAGGGCCTGCCCAATCTGTACCAGGTCCTTCGAATATATATTTTGGCTTCCATTTTAGTGTTTTTATGGAATTCTTGAGTGTGGGAATGAGTGGAGCTCCACTTCTTGTGCCTGCTCTTGGGCTCTTTTTCTTCTGTTTGTTGTTTTGTTCAATTCTGGTGTATTACTTTTTGTTTTGTCTTATTATATTTTATTACTAAACCCTAGAAGCCTGTTTGTTTTTAAATGAGAGACAGAAAGGGCATGGATCCAGACAGGAGGTGAGATGAAGTGAATCTAGAAGTAGAGGAAGGGGAAACTATAATCAGGATATATTGTGTGAGGAGAAAATCTGTTTCCAATAAAAGAAAACGAAGGAAGGAAGGAAGGAAGGAAGGAAGGAAGGAAGGAAGGAAGGAAGGAAGGAAGGAAGGAAGGAAGGAAGGAAGAAAGAAAACAAGAAAGCAAGAAAGCAAGCAAGCAAGCAAGCTAGGTGAGCAAGCAATGAAAAGTAAGCCATTAAGCAGCATTCCTCCCTGGTCTCAGCTTCCGTTCCACCTCTAGGTTCCTGCCTTAGCTTCCCTCTGTGAAAAACTGTTCCCTGAGCCAGCGTTGGTGGTGCACACCTTTAATCCCAGCACTCAGGAGGCAGAGGCAGGCAGATCTCTGTGAGTTCAAGGCCAGCCTGGTCTCCAGAGGGAGTGCCATGATAGGCTCCAAAGCTGCACAGAGAAACCTGTAGGGAGCC